AAAAAAGAAATAGTGTCTGACTGAAACAGTGAAGCTTTCTAAGCTGCCATGGTGTGGGGTGTGGAGTGATTTCTTCCCCGCTGCTGGCTTCACTTTGGTGTTTCAGTAAGGAGATAACAGTAGTCATACCTCCATTATTCCAGGCACGCCTCTTCAGACGCGCCAAATTATCTGTTTCCTCTGCCCTGCGGGAGAAGGCTTTTTAGAAATAGTTTCTTCCAAAATAACAAGGTGTGAAAGAAATGACTTTTCTCCCCCTACGTTTAAGTTTTTTAAAAGGAACGTTTCAAGCATTGATAGAAAGTAGAGAGCAGGGCACATGAGCCCACAGGCTCCCATCATCCAGCTTCCGCCGCGAGGGCTGATGGGTTCATCCCTCCACAGGCCCGCTGCGTGCACATCCATGGCCCCTTGCCCCATCCCCTGGATTATTCTGAAGCAAATACCAGACATCGTATCATTGCATCCATAGATACTCCAGTCCTATCTCGATTAACAGCAGCTTTTTAAAATATGTCATTACAACGTCGTTTCCATGCCTGAAAGTAACAATCCCTTAACAGGATCACATTTCTGGTCAGTGTTAAAATGTCCCCAGTTGACTCATAAACATTTATTTACTAATAAGCAGGACAAAGCCTTTACACCACATTTGGTTGTTGTGTCTCTTTTAATCTGTGGCTCCCCCTCACCCCTTTCCTCTTTGCAATCTGTTGAAGACACTAGGTGATTGGTGCTGTAGAGCTTGCCGCATTCTGGATTTTTCGACTCCTAATGAAATAACAAATCCAGGCCATGAGAATCAACGGTTGTAAAACCATCAGGTGAGAGGACAGCAGGAACTTCGAAATGGATGTCCAGGTTGACATCAGACCAATCCTAACGTCTCACAATAACCTGAGGTTCCCATCGCCTCCTGTGATGAATGCTTACCAAAAATTTCAACTGGAATCCCATTGATCCTTCAGCTCTAACTACCAGTTTGTAGCAAATACAAGGGACAGAAGAATATGGAACAGCACACGATAGGCTTTTTTTTTTTTTAATTTCTATTTTGATGTAGCAAACATTTATTTAAAATTTATGTAATTACTCTGTAATTATCAGGCATTATAGTGTGATGTTTTTCCAAGGATTACTGAGGAGTAGGGTGTATTTATGCCTCACGACAGGAACTCAGATTGCTGTAATGTTTTGTTCTTTTGCTTGCCTTTGTACACTTTAATCTACTTCCTAAGGAGGGCTGACTGTACCGTAATGACTTTTGCGTGCCTCTGTGATCTTCCTGTCTTCCTCCACCCTAGCTCCTCTCCACGAGGTTCTTTCTGTTTCACTGCGGTCCGAGAAACCAAATATCAACTTCTTGAGAATTTATAAGATAAAAGTTCTAAGTGAAAGCTAAGTAAGGGCTCCTATTTGTAAATGCACAAATATTAGTGGATAGAGTTGAGTAATAATCATTAAGTTTTGCAGGTGTTTTTTTCCTCCTTAATTCTGGATAGCAGAAGCTTTGGGATAAATGAGATGTAACCAGTGTTCTATACTAGTCCCATGGGATAGAAAGTGTGGTCACAGCACCCAACAACAAGCCACAGTGTGCATAGGAAAAATGGCAAAATTCCAAGTTGGAAAAACCCAGCACTGCACACATACATGAAAGTTTGATGAGAATGTCACCTGGATTAGGTCATTAAAGACAAGGAAATGTAACAGCCTTGCTGTCGACATTCCCTTCTTCTCAAAACACCCTCTTTTTTCGGGTTCCATGAGCTAACGCTCTCCTAATGTTCTCCTACCTCTGGGGATTCTCCTCCGTCTTTTTCCTGGCTCATCTTCCGTTTTACTGACTGTTAAATATTGGAAAAGTTCAAGGCTTGCTCCAGTGTCCTGTTCTTCCCATCCTACAGCCTCCGTCTGTGAGCTTGTCCATGCTTATGGTTTTAATTATTATCTATATGCTGATGACGCTTAAATCTATATAGCCAGCCTAGGCTCTCCCCAGAGCTCCCAGCCATAAATCCATTTGCCTATTCAACATCTTGACTTGGCCATCTCACAGCACTTCAAACTCCACGTGGCCAAAAACTGAACTCATACCTTTTCCCTCAAACCCTCACCTCCCCCAGCATTCCTGCTCTCAATAAACAGCACTGCCAACCAAAGATGAGCAAGCAGACATTGGCAGCCATCCCTGACACCTCTTTCTCCCTCATTGCCGTATCCACTGCGTCAGTAAGGGTTGTTGATTCTCATTTCCAAATCTGTCCATGCCTCTTCATCCTCACGTTGCCACCATGGTCCAATTTCTCACACTTCCAGTCCTAGATTACTTCCAAAGTCTTCTATTCACACCATGCCTTCTCTGTGTTCAATCCGTTCCGTAGCCACTGTTTTTCAAAATTGTACCAAATGTGCCGTTTATAAGTGTATCATCTCCCCGGTGCCTTTAGGATAGACTAAAATCCTTATCATGGCTAACAAGTCCCTGGTGTCTGCCTCCTTCACCTTAATTTCCTCATTTCATGACCCCCTTCCCTATTCTCTAGGATCCAGTCATACTGGTTCATAGGAGTTTGGGCCCCAGGACTTTTGCACAGGTAGTTGCCTCTGGTAGGATTGCTTTCTTCTCTTTTCCTTTTTTACCCAGTACACCCCTATGTGTCTTTCTGAATTCAGCTCTTTTAGAAAGTCTCTATTGGCTGCTGGTTTGTCTCCCCAGTGCCATGTTCACAATCCCTGTTCTTTATGATTGGAACAACCTCACAATTAAAGTAACTGAGGCCCAGAAACATTATGCAACTTGCTTAGGGATCATACGTCCAGATAGTGGCTGTGCTAAAGCACACACTGAAACCCTCTCACTTTAACAGCGGCTGGGTCTGTTGTCAAGTATTAGAGGTCTGTGTCAGGTTTCAGCCTCTAAATGATGTGTAGAAGCTGGAATGAGTTGAGAGAAAAGGAATAAGCTAATTAAAGGGAAGTCAAGTAGGACCTCTGAAGAAAGGTTAAAGGAGACAGGACTGTTTAGTCTAGCCCGATGTAGAGACAGGGGAAACAAGGCAGATTTAAAGTTTTTTAAGTTCAGGAAGGTAGAGATGGCAACAAAAATATTTGTTTGAATGACCAGAGGGCATGAAAGATTACATTAGGCCATACATCTCTGTAGCCAGAGAGGGCTTGGTTTAACAAAGGAAAAGGTGATCGGATTGGAACAAAATGGAGAGTTAGCCCCTCAGTGTCTTTTTGCGGAAATGGTTCAAAGCAGAATCAATAAGCATCTAACTTACCTGGTGGTTTCAGGGTTGACCTACCTCAGGCAGGAAGCTGAACTGGCTGACCTCTGACCTCTGGAGGTTGTTTGGAATGAATGAAGGAAAGAATGAATGTGAAAGGGAGCCTCCCCTTCAGTCACAGGCTAGATCACGTCCCCAACCTGCCTGGGGTGGAAAAAGAAATACTGAGTGGCATATGTCCCCAAGGGCTCCTCAGCTGATCACACTCAGTTGGCCTTATCTGGATCCCAGGTGTTTCCATTTATCTCTGATAAACTGTCAGCCAAGAACCAGCTTTGTGGTGGGAGGTGGGGGGATGAGTGGAGGGGAGGGTGATACCCCAGATGTTTTCCGAGAAGATGGGAGAACGTTATTCTTCAGCACTAATGCATTTCGTCATCCCCTCTGCTTGCAGATGTTAAATTTGGGAACACTTCCAGGTTCCTTTTTCTCTCTTAAAATAAAATTAGTTGTGTATCTTAAACATCCAGGACCCAGTCATCCCCAGGGATGTATCTCTTTTGCATATGGATAAAGCTTTGGGAGTTCAAGAGGATTCTAAGGTTTACCAGCTGTGATCCTTCCAGTCTAAGGAATCCTGTGGGCTGCCTGGGCTGGAAAACAGGACAGATTACAATAATCAGAGGTGACATTTTCTGAATGCTTACTGTGTGCCATGTAAAATCAAATCCCATGGCAACACGGCCAGGGTGGTATTAAAATCCATTTTACAGATGGGTAAGTTGTCCCCGATGTGTGTTGTTTCCCTAAGTTCACAAAACTACTAAGCAGCAGAACCTGTTCAAACCCAGGACTGTGTGACTTCAAATAATAATTGCGACCATTTTAGGGGCCCGTCACTCATTAAATCCTACGTGTAGGTGCTGTTAGGTCCATTTTGCAGGTGAGGAAACTAAGGCATAGAGGAGTCCAGTGGTCAAGCTTGCACATCTAGCAAGTGGCAGAATGGAGCACCAAAGCAAATAACTTGGTTTTGGAATTTGTGTTCTTAACCATGACCCTGTCCTGATTTTCATCCCCTTTTTACACTCCATGGACTGTTAGGGTTGGCTGGATGCAATTTTTTCTCAAACTAGCTGATCTGAGCTTTCGATAGCTTGAGGTAGAACCTCCTCTCCCCGTGTCGTCTTATCTTTCCATTGATTTTCTGCTGTTTGAGCAGTGGCAGGCCCCCCACCCTGGGAGAGTGGCATTGGCTACAGGTGGCAAGGTGGTGGCTCCAGTTCAAGTCTCTCCCCCGGAGTTGGATGTTCCAGAAAGGACACTGTGTTCTGCGGAGCTGTCTCCCTGGCGCGGGCTTTGATCTGGGAAAGGGGGAGCCTCGCTGCAGAGCTGAAGCTGTCTCTCTGCTTTGTTTATGTGAGTGTCCTTCCAGGACTCTGTCTGCGTTTGGGGTGGAAACGCCCTGCCAACAACCACCCCCCGCCCCCCGGCCCTCTGTGCAGCCAGCATACCTCCTGCCTTTTTGATGAGTCCTCTGCCCTGGATCGAGAGCCATGTCTCGTAGTAGCTTGGAGACTACAAAAGTTTCCCTGGCAGCATGAATGATCTACCACAACGTGCTCTTGCCTTTCGGAGTTGCCCTCCAATTTTTCCAAGCCCGATTCTGTAAATCATTTCATCTCGCACAAAGACCCAGCTGGGAGCGTTGGTGATCTCAAAGGGGAGGGTTATTTAAAGCTCCATTTAAGAATCTAGCCTCCCTTCAACAGATTAACGCAGCTCAAATATGTGACCAAACGTGTTTTTCTGTGCATATGCCAATGCGCAGGTAGCTCTGGGGCCTTTGAGAGGAAGTAGGATGTGCCTCTACTCCGGGCGACTTTGGAAAAAGTGACTTCTCTGTGTATTGACAACTAATTTATCATTGGAAGCACGTAAGGTTTTACTCTATGCAAGTGCTCATCGGGTGGCTGGTGGTGGAGGGCGGGATGAAGTGGGGAAAACTGAAATGTTTTGAAAGAGACAAGTAAGCCTCAAAAGGTCATTTAGACTGTCCTCTTGGCTTCTGTCATCCCAAGAAGATGGAAATCTATTGTGGTTTTCAAGGTAGATTAAGGTTAAATAGCTCACAGAATTGGAAGAGTGTTTGGGGTCACTATCTGAAGTCTTTTGCGTCACTTGCCTTTATTCCGACACTGAAAAAACTGGTTGAAGGCAGATTGTAACGGAGAAGGTCCAATAACCACGAGCTGGTGAATGTTCCGTCAGAGAGGAGGCTTCTTTAACATCTCTGATCTTCTGTCACCTGTTGACAAAACAGTTGCCCGCATGCAGGGACCATATGCTTTTGAAAGGAACATTCCTGAATGTTGAATGTTAGAAATTATCTTGCTGGTTTTTGGAGTAAAGGCAGGACTGCCTCCTGATAACTCACTTGGAATAGAAAACCAAACTTGCTTTTTAGAGTTAGAGCGCATGCAGTTCAGTGAAGCAATGAGTTTAACAAAAATGTAACAAAACATTTCTGTTGAAACTTTGTTCCTTAAGATAGGAAACTCCATCCAGCGACAATCCAGGAACGGAATTTTGTAAATTGTTTAGTAGAGTTATGATGACAAAAGCCTCTCACAAGATGATGTAAGCAGATGAGAGTGGGAGGGAGAAAGGAAGAGCTGATAACCTGTTCAGCATCACAAAAATGTTATTTTGTTTAAATCTCACAAAAGCTTCTCTCCTTTTCACAGATGAGGAAACAGACACTGAGAGATGTGAGAGTAAACCTTTTCAAGGTACAATTAATCTGTGCCCGAGCTTGTAAAGGAATCACGGCTTTCAAACTCTGAGACAGGTGCTCCTTCAATGCACCAGGCTGCCTTGCCTACTGCCTACGAGAAAGCATCGTGGAGGGCACCCCATCTGCCTCTTTGCAGTGACCCTCAGGGGTGAGACAGAGCTGCCTCATGACCAAGGCAATACTGTCACACCGGGGAGAGGAAGTAGGAAGTAGGAAGTAGACAGGGACTTCCGTTAGGCTGTTCGGGGCCACTATTCCAGCTCAGCTGTTCTCTGGCTGCCTGACTTGGGGCAAATTACTGAAACTCTTTATGTCGCAGTTAGACCCAATCTGTATAAAAAGGGAGTAATACTCCTGCCCAACTCATAGGGTTTTGTGAGTAATTAAATGAAATGGAAAATGCTTCACCCAGTGTCTGGAAAAAAAAATGCTCACCAAGTCTATATAGTTTCCGATTCTATTTGGAGCTTACATTACGTATAGTTATTAATTTCTTTATCATGAAACCACCCACAGTGAAACACGGAGATTCTTATGAAAGGCAAAAGTCAACGCTTGTGAGCGTGATTAGATATACCAAAGCAGCAGCAGAAAATCCTAGAGAGCATCAAAAAATGGCTGGCCATACTTGTTTTCCAAGCAAAATAGAAATTCAAAATTAAGGAGCAAGGCTAGAACAAAGGTGAAAATTATAAGGAATTACAGGGAAGGCCAGTTCCCCGTAATAACCAGTAACCCAAGAGCCATTAAGGAGAAGGAACCAGACTAATGCTTTTCTTATAGGTAATTCCATCAGTGCCATTACCACCTGTGTAGTTTCTAAAAAGGTGAATTTTAAAAAAAGACTCAATTTTGTTAAAAATTAGGTGTAGTGTAGCCTCCAAAGTGAGCTATGAAATACTGCCCTAAGCCAGAAAAAATGTTAGCCATCTTGCAAGGGTATTCTTTAAATTAAAAAAAAATTTTTTTTTAATCTTTATTTATTTTTGAGAGAGAGACAGTGTGTGAGCAGGGGAGGGAGACACAAAATCTGAAGCAGGCTCCAGGCTATGAGCTGTCAACACAGAGCCTGGCACAGGGCTCGAACTCACGAACCGTGAGATCATGACCTGAGCCGAAGTCGGACGCTCAACTGACTGAGCCACCCAGGTGCCCCTCCCTATGGGTATTCTCAAAAAAAAAAAAAAAAAAAAAAAAATTAAATAAGTCAGTTTCTTCTTATTTATTTATTTATTTATTTTTACATTGGACATTTTGAATTTTCCATTATGTGAAGGGTCTAAAGTCTTTTGCCAAGAGCAATGAGATTTGTGGGTAGGAAAAAAAAACTCACAAAACACCCCTTTGTCTATCAATTCCATTAATTTCTATACAATTAGAATACGTATTAGTTTTCCCTGCACCAGTAGAAAACACGCTGGTGGGGGGAATCCATTCTGTATATGTCAAAACAGGACCTTTGTCAAACAACTCAGACAAGGTAAAATTTCTTCTTAAAACAGAAGCTTTTTTTTTTTTTTCCTCCTAGATTTTCCTTAAGGGGGTTGAGCTTCTGATTATTCCCTCTACAACCCTGCATTTCGGGGCCATTTTCTTCTGCATTTCACCTTGGTGGTGATATCATCCCTGTCTGTATCAGGGGAAGGGAGGGATTAATGAAAATAAAGGTCAGCCCTTCCCTATCTCCTTTGGGGCCATGTCGTCTTAGTTTTGATCATTTCCCCCAAATTAAGATTTCTGTATAAACCCCTCATGTGTGTGTTTGGCTGGCAGTTTTATGGCTGACCAAATTTTGCACTGGCCAGTGTTCTGGTTGGCTGAATGTTTACACAGGCTGTTAATCAGATGGGGAGGGAGGAGTGGATGTGGGGACTGTCTGTGAGCCGGAGTGGTCCTGTTTGCTGTCGTGTGCAAGGGCCTGCACTTTGTTACTACAAATTACATAATGACATGTTACATTTCAAAGTGTATTTTTACTTCAGGGAAAATTAAACCAATAAACAAACAACTCTGGTGGAAAAAAAAAAAAGAGGAAAAAAAATGAGATCCCTGGTTTCCAGATCTTCCTCTTCCAAAAGGTTCTTAATTAAATTGTAGCTATAAACAAATCTTTGTTTTATTGAAAAGAGAGCAATTGCATATAAAAGCTATTTTTGAAAATTAGGATTCGAGCGTTTGCTGGACTAGGGTCTGGCCCATGTTATGTGTTTTATGATCTGTCCAAAATGAAAAGGCAGGCTCGTGTAGTGATGGTAGATTTTCAATTTTTGATTGCTAATCCCTCTCAAATGTTGCTCCTGCCCTGCTTGAAAGGAGTATGTAAACACAGGAATTCTCCTAGTTTTTCCAGGTACTGATTCAAGCAAAGCTGCTTAGCGTAAGGATGAACTTGTCGACTCTGGATTCTTGGTCACGCGGGAAATCAGGTGTATTCAGCAGCACACTATCTACATTTTAGCAACTTTGAAGCAGTTAAAAAAAAAAAATCAACCCCTCTAAATCAACTTCCAAGCCTTTCACTCACACCTACAAATTCAAGATGAGGTTTTTTTCTGTAAGCTATTGAAATCAGAATGTGCCCTGGATCCAAGGTTATGGTGATAGCCCTTCTGGGTAATAGTCATGTGCATACGTGGTTCAATTCTGCATTTATAGGTTCCCCACCGCCACCCCCACCGGGCCCCGCCCCGCTACCTGAAAGTAGCACGTTCCTATGAAACCCTTTATAAGCTGAAATGGCATAAAGCGAATAAGCAATTACCATTAATTTATATGAAAAAATTTTTGAGCATTCCCAGACCCAAAATATAACCTCTCTTAGGCTTTTCTGATACCTTGGGACACATCTTGCTAACTATACACAAAATAAATCAAGAGAAAGCACAGATGCTCACAGACACAGTTCAAAGCTGTGGCGGCTTGCTGCTGAGATGCTGAGTGTGCTTCTCAGGAAGGAGTTTGGTGGGACCGTTCTCGCTGCTGGGGGTGCACGCCGCCTCTGTTTCTAGCTCCCAGCAAAACCGGCACTGAATGCTATTTTTGCTCCCCTCCCGCCTTTTTTAAAAAATAAAAGTGAAAATCCTCTTTGGATTTTTTCAGTTAGTGACGACAGGTACTAATGTAGGTCTTTTGTTAAAGTAACGTAGTGTAATGTAAACTTTCGAAAAGTGGGGGGTACTTGCATGTGCTGGTTCCGACACTTTTCTTCAGAATAAACTACGTTATCAAAAGAGAATGTGTCCTCACTGTCTTTCCGCCGGTTATGTGGAGTACTGAGAATAAAGACACGTATTAAACTGCATGGTAAGTGAATTATTTCACCAAATCAATCTCGCCCACATCTGCTGTTATCCGAACCATCTGACCCGGAATTCACTGGGTTTGTTCAGGTGTTTGGCTGCTACTAGGAATTGCCACAACCCGGTAAGTGGCTGCATGAATTGTCCCTTTTATATTTTAACCATATTCCACGAGGCTTACATGTCTTAGGCGAAATTACGATGTGATTTAGGATAATTTATCAGTACAATCCACAACATGAGAAATCACAAGAGCAGCTGAGAAGAACTGTCTACATCTTCCTACTGAGTTTGTTTATTCTTAAACTCAGGATGTTTAAAAAGAGAACTTTTCTCCTCAAATCTTAGAGACAATAATGGGGTTTTGAACCTTACAATTAAAATTTCAGATTTTTCAATGACTGAAAAAACTTAGGAAGAAGAAAGGATAGCAAAATAAAGGGCAGATACATAGTGTAGGTTTTTGTTTTGTTTTTTTTTTTTTTTTTTTTTTGATAAAAGGAAACCATTTTAGGCAATGCTATTTGGTAACAGTAGCCATGTAAATGCGCGGCACCCTGTTTTATTTTGTGGCCAAAAAAATACACTTTCCTCTGTCTCATCTTGGATCCTTGACAGTTCCATGTGAATAATCAATTTAGATTAATACTTATGAAAGTTCTCAACCCCTGAACCAGACCGACCATCGGCCATTCAAGTAGTTTTGTTTTTGACTTCAGGCATCTTAGCACGAGGACTGCTGTCTGGGGGCATTCTACTGGGGTTTGGCCTTGACTTTAGAGCTGCAGAAAAGACCAGATTTTTCACTACTGTCACCAAACAGCCAAGGGAAGTGAAGAGTCAGATATTAATCAAGGGTTTTCATCCTGTGAATGACTAATCCAGTAAGAAAGAAGATTTTGAGCCAAGCAGTAATCTATCAATGGACCAATAATCCACAGTGTGCCTGTGAATGGGTTAGATGCTTTCATCTTGGTTTTTGGCTTAGCTAGCATTTGACGTGGTAGATGGGAGGGAAAGTCACATCATAGCTTGTTGAATGAATGAGTGAAAATGGGTAATGTAACAATAATAATAATAACGAGGTCCTTTCCTCTCATTTTTTGATAGGACCCCATTAATTTACCCATGGTGACAACTACTCTCTTCTGCCTGTTTTGCCTTCCATGTCATGGTTTGCATCAAGGCTCCAGGGGAAGCTCACCATCAGCACCACAGATACCCTGCACAAAGCCAGACACGGGAAAGAGAGAGGCTTAAGGTAGAAGGAAGGGTGAAAGTTCAACTTTCAGATGGCAGTTCGGCTGTAGACAACAGAATGAGAAAGTGGTGGCCATGTTGTTTCTTTCACCTTCAACTTCGAATGTAAGTCCTGAAATGTGTCTGCTTCTGTTTCTATCCATCTGTCTCTGGATCACTGATCATCCATCCACCTATCTATCTATCATTTATCTCTCTCTCTCTAACAAATCTATCACCTGTCATTTATCAATCATCTATCTATCATCTATCAGCAATTTCCTATTTTTCTATCTCTTCCTTCATTTCTCTCCCTTTCTCCTTTCTTCCTTTTCAAAAATAAAACTGGTACTAATGCAGAAGTCTGAAATTAGACCTTAAAAGCTATCACTACTCTTATTTTCAAGGGGTGGAGTTTTTTCTAACTTGTCTGGCTTTAACTTTCCTATTCTCTTCTGACATTTGTCCTTATTGCTACATGTCAGAGAACCTCTTTGAAAATTCTTCTGTTTAATGGGGTTCAGGGAAATAAAAATCTACTTTAAAAAAGATAAAATGGGGGCGCCTGGGTGGCGCAGTCGGTTAAGCGTCCGACTTCAGCCAGGTCACGATCTCGCGGTCCGTGAGTTCGAGCCCCGCGTCGGGCTCTGGGCTGATGGCTCGGAGCCTGGAGCCTGTTTCCGATTCTGTGTCTCCCTCTCTCTCTGCCCCTCCCCCGTTCATGCTCTGTCTCTCTCTGTCCCAAAAATAATAAACGTTAAAAAAAAAAATTAAAAAAAAAAAAGATAAAATGAAGCTGATATGGACTTGGTAAGTAATTTCTGTGGAGGTCCATTTTCATATGCATGCAAATCTGCCTAAATGTTGTTTCAAATTTTAAATCATGTGCACATAAAACTCATAAAACTCATTTATGTGTTTTTAAATGCTGTTTAAAATTTTAAAGTATATACACACACACAGAGCTTAACATGCATTATAATAGCATGCAACCTGAAAAATAAGTTTGAAAACTGAACTGGCTTTGCAATGCAGCAATAGACTAATCAAGTATCATTTTATATAATGTGTATGTCTCTGAGTGCAGCATGCAAATATGCTATTTAGAATATTTTCCTGATTGAATGAACAAGCCCACAGGTTCACCGTTTTATATTTGTTCTCTTAAAAACATGAAACTCATTTTGAAAATGCTGGTTTAAATGGGCGTTATTAAGTCTTTATCAGTTCTGAGCATTTCAGCCTTTTGCATCCAGAAATTTCTCAATCTGACAGAATAAGAAATGCATTTACATGGCCTAAGCTCTTAAATTGTCCCTTTCAATTAATGCCCCATCATGGAGCAATCTGGAAACCATTACTCAGTAACTCTTCATTATAATTGCTTGCAGCTGAGTATCCAGCCCTTGGTAATATAAGAATAAAAGAAAACTCAGTTAGTAACAAGTGCAATTGATTCCATTCAGAATTCCCCTGGTGCTTTGCCATGTTTGGCCTGCTTGAGAGGAAACACGAGGGTTTGGATTTTTTTTTTTTTTTCCTTTTGGGGCCAGGAAATGAATTGGCAGACATAAGATGGTTTGTGTGGGGCTTGCCTTCATTTTTCAGCTGGTCCTAGTTAAAAATGAGACGATGGGGCTCCTGCTTTCTCCCCCACTGGCTACATTTTTTGTTGTTGTTGTTGGGGTTTTTTTTTTGTTGTTTTTTTAAGAGGGCTTTTCTGGTAATAGATAAGACTACAAAACGTCAACTTGCTGCAAACTAACAGCATCCAGAAACTGTCACCTTCCGTGGCCACAGCCGATCTTGGGTCTTATTTCTCCTAAGGAGGGGGTTTTAGAATTTGATTCACTCCTACCTTGATCTTGCCTTTATGACAGCAAAGTCCCTGGTGCATTTTGTACAGGTGGGGAGTGTTTATGTGTTTGGAGGCTATCCATCACCAACTCCAGAAACGTAAAGATCTAAAATTATGATAGATGAAAATGTGAAAATGTGATATGGTAAACTCACCACCACCACGCCCCCTCCCCCGCCACAACCCCTCATTCTCTGTGTAAATCAGGAACTTGGCTTTTAAAAATGGTGGAGGGAAATATTCTTATCACTCATTCCCCTCAGAGACCACGCAGCTCAGCACTGACACCACACTGGCACCTAGCACCCGTGTCCCACTGCCCTCAGCACCAGTGACCATGGGGACAGTCAGTTCATAACATCCTACCTCCCTTCTCCCCTATAGATGATTGAGGCCAGGGGACAAACGTGCCCTACTTCATTAATTTAATTTATGTAAATTATAAAATACATTTTATTACAAAAAATTGATGCTCGGCATAGAAAAGTAGAACCCAATAAACTAACTGCTCTTAGTTAATTTCCATTCTTTGGTTTCATAATAATAGGGGGAAAAAGGTCTCTATGAAGTTAAATGGCATTTCATTTTGATTTGCTGTAGAAAGAAACTTGTAAAATCTCCCATGACTAGGGAAAATTGCTATAAATATTTTAGTGTCTTTCTTGTATTTTTTTCTATGCATTTATTTTCTTAAGGGGAGGTTGGTTTTTTTACACGGGTGTAATGATTCTGTGTTTTCTACCCTGTTGTAAACTTAAAAAAAAAAATCTGTTATTGTTATTACTAATTACAAATTTGGAAAGCCTACATGGTGGGGGTGGGGGGGCGTTAAACTAGAGACAAGCACTTTCATAGTGACCTCAAGCAAAAAGAACAAAAGTAAGAGCAGAATTCTCCCTGACCTTTAGAGGATCCAGGATCTCAAATTCACAGAACCAGGAATGCCAACTTTCCCAGACTCTCAAGCTCCACCGTGATTAGAAGGAACTGCAAACAAGCCTTCAGGGAGAACATTTTTTCCATTGAGAATTAAATAAAAATGAATACTCAGAGGCAGGTTTCATGAGGGTGGGGAGAATTGGATTATTTTGTGTGTGCCTGATTTCACATTTCCCTAAGAGACATAAGACAATCAACCGAGTATCTTGAATTTATGATAATTAAACATCATCAATTTCTCTGGTAGTATTTAAAATTTTTCTCTAGTTCCATTTCCCTTATTTTTTATTTTTTTACCGTTCATTTATTTTTGAGAGACAGAGAGAGACAGAGCACGAACAGGAGAGGGGCAGAGAAAGGGAGGCACAGAATCCGAAGCAGGCTCCAGGCTCTGAGCTGTCAGCACAGGGCCTGATGTGAGGCTCGAACCCACAAACTGTGAGATCATGCCCTCTCGGATGCTTCACCGACTGAGCCACCCAGGGGCCCCTCTCTCGTTCCATTTCTTTAGTAAGAAATGTGGCCTATTAAAAACTGGATTCATTGAGGCAAACCATAAGAGACTCTTAAATACAGAGAACAAACAGGGTTAATGGGGGGGGGGGGAGGGGAAAATGGGGGATGGGCATGGAGGAGGGCATTTGTTGGGAAGAGCCCTGGGTGTTGTATGTAAGCGATGAAGCATAGGAATCTACTCCTGAAGCCAAGAGCACCCTGTATACACTGTATGTTAGCTAACTTGACAATAAACTATATTTAAAAAAAAAAAAAATCTTTAATTTCGTAGATAAAAAATACGTGATAATGAAATCAGCTGATGTCCAATGACTTTGTGCAGTGACTGTGAATTCAGGTCAACTACTTATATTAATGGTTCCTGACCTAGGAGGGTGTTGGTAGGATGGGGGTAGAGTCCATTTCCAAAGAAGACGTGTCTAGTAGCTTATGCTTCTGTGTTTGAAATAATCAATCCCCAAAGTCCAAACTTCATACACTGGTCTGGCCCAGAGCTCCAGCCAAATGGGCGTATAGCTACTCGCTTGTCTACTGATTTTTACTGGTGAAAGTCTTATACCTCTTTCATGGGAACTGGTCACGGATAGGTTCTGTTCCTTCATAAACCAGACAGCCCTGTCTGCTCCATTCTCGAGACTGTTTACAGGACTTTGGCTTTGTTTCAGGTTTTCAGCACCTTTATTCAAATCCTCTCTCCCTTCCCTGCGGAGGTAGTATTTAAGCAATTCTCCCTTTTCCAATCAATCAGCAGATCTTTCTTGAGGTCTAATTGAGTGGAATATTCCACCCCTGCCCAAGGCTGCTAATTAGTACTATTTGTGGCCTGGCTTCCCCAGACCAAAATCTTGGATGTAATCCGCTCCCCTCCCCCGCACTTTTTATTTTAAACTGTGGTAAAATGCGCATAACATAAAATTACCATTTTAATCATTTTTAAGTGTATAGGTCAGTGGCATTAACTACATTCATGTTGCCTCATGGCTTGTTACGGTCTTCTCTTTTCAGTGAAAATGATATCTAGTCATGTTGAGTGATTTAAAATGCTGAGAAAAGATCATGTTTTGTTTTTAGAGGAGGTGAAACACAAAAAGGCCTGTACTCCCACTACTTACTGTAGAATGAATTTATTTTGCTTATCTGTATTTCCTGTGATAAGTTCTACAAATACTCTACCAAATCTAATGGTAAATTCTGAATGTGGATTGTTTTATTTTGCACATAGACATCCTACGACCTGAAATTGTACCAGAGGACAAAAGGAGAATATTAACAATAGCTGGCTCTCCATTGCTTGTGGAAGGGTAAACTTGAAGAGGTTGCAAACCAGAGGCTCCATGGGCATCCACCATCGGATGTGTTTGGTTAAGCCAGCTAAGCGTTTTTAAAAGCATAAATTGTTTTTCATCATTGCAGAATTAGGATAATTCATATAGAAATATTTATTCCCAGTTTTTCTTACAACTTGGTAGGTCTGGCAACATGGGCCCACGTTGGGCCTGGCAGCCATCAACAGGAACCAGGGGGTGGTGACCCCTTCAGATAAAGCAGGTGCTCTTTGTTTTGCCCCGGGTCCACACAGTCAGTTTCACTCTTTATTACTTTGTTGAAACCCTCACCTCCCACCCCCCAACTTTCGGGTGTGACCTCTACCATATTGTAGAGCTTCTTTAAATTCCCTAATTGCCCTCTTTGTCATCACTGATGACAAAACTCTCCTTAACGCTGCTTTACAGGCATTTGGGTATTTACTATAAACTAAGACCTTCATGATCAACTTGGAATAAGATGTCTGTTAGGAGAGAAAATTAAGGAAGGTCTGGAGGAGGCCTCTCTTTAGTCCCTGAAAGAAGGAGACAGCTTCTTTTATTTCCTGTATCTTCTCATTGACCTTGAAGATAATAATCCCTGAAGGAACATGAGATGGGAGGCCAGGAAGCAAAAGAACGGGGCAAATCAAGAAGATGAACAAATCCTCAAATGGATCTTGAGCAGTTGAAGTGCACAGAGTGCTGTAATAATGTCCTAAAGAGTCTATCCAAGCGCTTGAGTAGCACTGGGCATTGTAATCCACAGGCCACAGAAAATGGTGCGAATGCTTTGTTCCCAAGGGGACTGTAGGCCTCTAGTGAGGTCTCTCACCAAAGCAATGAAATATTTCTGAGGTAGGCTGAAGGCTGTGGACCCTCAGATCTCTAGTCTTTTCTGGGATCCAGCTTATGTTTAGGGATAAGGAGGAAAC